ACTACAGAAGATTAAAATACCTTTTTTGTCGATCCTTAAAGATCAGCAGAATCTTTAGCAAAATAATAATGACATTTTTTATGAAGGATTTTTCTATTCTTATAAGGATGCTAGTCCAGTGTCCTTGTGTCCTCTGATGGATGGTGATGCACAGTTTTACGAATTATTTTCAAATATCTTAAAAAAGCTAAGCTATCAAATAAGAGAATAAAACTACAAATGCGTAATGATACGATCAACAAGTCTCGTAGAGTTTCACTCTATATGCTTTTCTAAACATGTGCCCTTAAACAGCACCACATGTGCCAGGCCATGTTCATACGCAACACTCAGAGTGGATGATTTAACCTTACACAGAGCACATGTACAATGAAAGGAAAACCAGAATCCTCACACACATATTTCACACGTATCTATGATAGTGGAGCAAATTATGGGCATGTTCCATGCAACGCACTCTGATGTAGATATTAAGCTCCCTGAAATCTGCCAGAGCGACTAGCAGACTTTGAGCTAACATGCAAAACAGAGGCGGCAAATGAGTGATGGCAGAAGGAAAGACGACACAAACGCAGAGGTGATTTTACCTACCACACACGGGCAGAGCGAAGGGAGCTTAGTGCGGCCCTTCATGAGCAAGAGACAGAGGAAAAACAGCCTCCCAGACACCCGCAGTAAAGGAGGAGAGGGATGGGGAGAAAGAGAGAGAGAGAGGGGATGAGAGGCTGGGGAAGGGGAAGAGGAAATAAAAAAAGAGGGAGGAGGGAGAGAGGGTAGACAGGAAGATGGGGAGGGAGGGGGTCATACCAGACGAAAAGAGAGAGTTTTCCTAGAAGCCAGAGTAGTTGGTGTTGGATGTGTGTTGACATTAAAGACAAGACTCTGAAAAGACAGGATGGCCAGTCTGCTCCAATCGTGACTCATAAAATATGTTTGCCACCGCCGGTGAGAGAGGGAGGGACAAGGAAAGGAGTCGTACAGACAATGAATCAACCTTCGGTAGTATTTTCTTTTCCAAGATTTTTTTTTTTTCCCTTCGCTTCCTCACTGAAGCACTGTCACACAAAGACTCAAACAATCATACATTGATGAGGCACTTCATGTTGGCACAATACATTTTCATAACTCTTTGCAATTATTATTTTTGATTTCTTGGGCATTGCAAATGTGCTTACAACCCCTTGAACTCTTTTACATTTCCTAATTCTACCAAAACAAATTTTTGTATTTATTTTACCGATATTTGAAGAGAGTGCTCTCTTAGCTTTGATGCCTCTAAATACCCTTCAGTGCAGTCCACCTGTGTGTCATTTGGTCTCAGTATAAATCCAGCTACTCTCTGAAGGCCTCGGGGGTTTATTAGACAACATTTCTGAACAAACAGCACCATGTTGAACAAGGAACACAGCAGACAGGTCAAGGAGAAAGCAAAGGGACAAAGAAACAGTACTCCAGGCTTTAAACATCATTCTTGCAGAGTTCTGTTCAATCTATCATCTGGAAGTGAAAAAAGTACACCACCACTTCAAACCTAGCAAGACATGACTGTCCCACCTAAGCTGACAACGTGGGCACAGAGAACATAAATCAGAGAAACAGATAAGGAGTTCATGGTAACTCTGGAGGAGGTGCAGAGATCCCCAGCTTCAGTGCGACAATCTGTTGACAAGGCAACTATTAGTCATGCAGTCCAGTGATTTGGAAGAGAGACATTGTTAAAAGAAAGCCTTTTCCCATGTAGGGCATACAGCAAACATGAGAAGGAACGTTTTATTTTTGGCCAACATGTAATAGACTATTGCAGAAAACTAACAGCAGGTTCCAATCTCAATGATGAAACATGATGATGGCAGCATGATCAAGCTTTTTCAAGCAGGTAAAGTGGAGATGTTCAGGGCTGATGGCAAAATGAATGGCTTGGGTAATACATACTCTACATGTGTTAAAGGTCCAAAGTGCAGATCTACTACAATAGACAATCTGTGGGAAGACTTCAAAATGTGTCCATCAAGTCTGACTGAGCTTGAGCGATCTTATAAAGATGAAAGGGGGAAAGCTTTCAGTCTCTGATAAAGACTAACAGCTGTAATTTCAGCAAAATATGTTTCTATGAAGGTTTGACTCAGGAGTTTTAAAAACAAACGCACACCACAAATTTCAGATTAATTTGATACAAGAAAAAAAAAATCTGTTTAACCTTTTTCTTCCACTTCCTAGTTATCTTTTAGTCTCTGTAGGTCTAAAATAAAATCACATTCAAATCGGAAGGAAAATCCTGTTTAAATATATATTTTGTGTAACGGGGTTTCAGAGTCAACAACCCAGCTTGAGATGTTATTTTCAGACCACTCACTTATTTTTTTTATTTATTTTTTAACTTCCTTTGCCCTGTTGAGGTCACTGAGACTGTGGAACCGAGCCCAGCTGTCAACAGGACCCTGCAATCTCCCAGGGCTAACCAGGTGAAGAAAAAGATCTGATTATGTTATTTTGTAATGTGCACATCTTTCAGCTTATTTGTTCTATCCTTTAGAAATGAAATGGTTTATTGAAAAAAAAACCAAAAAAAACTGGTCTTCATGTCTCAGTCCAGGATGTTTGTGTTGTATTCAGCTCCGGGCCTTGGAGCAGTAACCTTGTGAAGAAGCAGTGTGCAGCTGTCAGCCCCAGAATTAGTGTGATTCAAACATTATCTTCATCAGAAATTATGTACACCAGAAATTTATTAACGCTTGGGTGTTTAACTTTTAAAAATATATATATGCATATATTTTTCATATTTGTCAAAACTGCTAAGTACAGAACTACCAGGCTCAATCAGAAGCAACCAATCAGAGCATGGAGGATCTTAGCGCTGTCAATCATGCTCATGTACGCACTTCTCACAGGATGGTGGCAGTTTTAACAAATGTGAAAAACATATTTTTTTTAGTAAAAGTTACAAAAAAATTCATAGGAATGTTTCAAATTAGATTTGAAACAACTTTTCAGAATTATTGTTTTTTTTTTAAGTCAGGCATGTTGGTAGAAGTTTGATCATCTGGAGCTGCCTTTATATTTCAGAAACTGCTGAACATCTTGAATTGAAATTTCGTGGCTTTACGAGTGCCTATAAGCATCAGATGATAAAAGTTGAAATAATTAGAAAGTAGGTCAAACCCCTTGTTCGCTTTCAGTTTCAAGAATCCAACATGCCTATTTAAATACATTTTCATTAGTACAAAGTGTTCGCAAAGTGTTGCAAGTGATTAATTTGTGTTATTACTTTGTCATTGCTGATATATGGGTATGTATGTTGCACATGTGGGCACAAGTGGAACATACAAGGCATGTGAAATTTGTGGTGCTCGTGTGGTGAAGCTGTTTATCGTGTCCAAAGCAATCTTTGGTCACTTTGAGATTGAGACCAAATTGTGTTAATTTGTACACCGTTTTAAAAAAATATTTAACTAAAATCTAAAATGTTTGCCATGTTTTCACCATAAGTACTCCTAAAAACAGCGAAACCAATTACAAATTAATACTGAGAATGAATTTCCAATGCGAGTCCCAGTATCAATAACAGTAGTCATTAACAGACATCTGCAAAGCACTGCCCAAGTGAACATTTTACAGAGTGATGTTTAATACACCATCCAAAAACAGATAGACATGAAAGAAAGAAAACCAGCCTATAGGTTTTCTGTACCCTATTCATATTCTACTGTACTGTAGAAAAATGTACGATCCTGAAAAAAAAAACATGCACAGCCTGATCTACAACACACACACATTTATATAATATAATGCCACAATCAAAGTTTAAACCTAAATTCAAATGAGAATCTGTGCCAAGACCTTAAACTTTATGTTCACAGGCCTTTTTCATCCAATCTGATTCAGCTTGACCTATTTTACAAAAAAGAATGAACAAAACAAAATGAGTTTGGTAGAGACATTTCCCTTAAAAGACTTGTGAAAATAATGGCCTACTTTGAAATGGTCTGTCACATAAAATCCCAAATAAGTATTTTGAGGTTTGCGATTGTTACATGATAAAAATGCAAACGTTTGAAGGGGAAATAAAGTTTTGAAAGTCACTTTAGTGAAGGTGACACCATATACGTTTTCATTAATTTTATAATGAGGCTTTATAATTTCATGATTTTATTTATGCCACAATCAAAATTTGAGTACTTTGCCAAGGAGAGATTTATTGAAACTTTCATTTAGTGTACTGTAAAAAAGCCCAAAGGCAACAGAAATCATTTTTTGTATGCCAGTTATCATTCCTACCTCAACTGATTATTGTTTTAATGGTTGAATTTGTCTGCAGTTACTTAGCATTTTCAGCTGTTTCAAGGGGAAAGTTTGGTTGTGTGAGGGGATAAACAGACTAAAAGCAGCATGACCCCATTTGACTGTTTTACAGTGCGCTGCTGTTGTGTGATAGATGGATGATGACACCTACAGACGTTAGGCCCAAAGCCCTCTGGACCTCAGCGACACACCGAGCTGTGGCTTCGGCATCAGCTTCTCTGACAGTAACTGGAGACTATTGGAGCACATCGTGACATTTCCATCTGGGACAAAGCCCGTCAGAACAGTGTCAAACACTGCGTAGCTCACCGATCCAACCACACAGGCCCCAGTGCTTATTTTCCGTTCTCCTTATTCATGAGCATCCTTCCCCACCACCTCCACAGAGGTCACCCTCCTACCTTCACGCTGTGGGCCTCACATTATCAACACCCCTCAATGCCAGGACTTTCTCTATATCTCCCCATCTCTCCCTTTTTCTCTCATCTCTGAATCCTCCCTTCCTCCTTTCATCTCCATTCTCTCCATGATGATACCCCTGCCATGTTGTCATGGCAACAATCGGGCCCTGATTGCTTGGTTGCTTGGCAACTGACATCACCTATAAGAGGAACATGAAGATACAAAGCCAGAGACAAACAAGTCACACTAAACATCAGTGCTTGTGCTTAACTGTGTTAAGTGTGAGCAAATTTGGATTTTTCTCCATGCTGACGTCAGCTGGCATTGCTTTGCTCATCGTAATTTTAATAAATAATTTTCAGACTGGAAGCCACAGATGGGTGCTGAACATAAAGCAAATAATTCAAAAGTGACTCATACTCTGAATTGTCTGGAAATCTTTGGGCTCCTGTGAATGAAGAACTGACGCAACATATCAGTCACATGAAAGTCTTTCACCTACGAGGGCACAGACAACGATGTCTCTAGTGAACACAGACCCAGTTAGTCCTAAAGCAGCACAAACCTGCGCTCGGGTGGTAAACCGTTTACATGGATGACAACAGCAACTGAAACGTGACAATCCCTCTTAGCAAGGTTGCCATGAGCTCCTGAGCTGTAGTTTTAATATCATGCCACAAGGTGTCATTGTGTGCTGCATTGACAAAAAAGAAGACCTGCTCTCTATGAAAATCCGTTTACAAAGGCAATGCAAATCCTTTTCTAATTGATAATATCAGCAGCAGCTTCATATTTGTCGGTGTACCTTTCTCTTCTTTCTAGAACCTCACATATAGAAATCATGACACATATCAGCCAATAGGCACAATAAACATCTGTACTGTTTGAAATGGAGAGTCGCAGTTCTAGTCAAAAGAATCTCAAAACAGCTCTGGCAGTATGAAAGTTTTTCATAATTCTTTTCACTGCTTCTGATTTTGATTATTTATTGTTCTATTGATACAAGCACCACAACAGTTAGTTATGTTTCTTGTCCTGCAGGCTCATATTTACACCATTAGTAGCTTCACTCAATTGGGGATGTCAAAATCGCCAGCCTAAACCACCCATGATGGATCTAAAGTGTCACCTGTCATATGGACAGTTTCAGAAAGCACAGCTCTGCTGACAGCCAAAACATTTGATTAGATTCTCAGTTGGATCCGTTTTCAACATGATCTCCTAGAAGGTAGGGATGGGAATCTCTGATCTCTATCCGATATACACATATGGATCCACAAACTACGATCAGATACTTTTAAGATTCCTCCTCATCAACCAGGGGTTCAATTAGATAAGATTTACTTCCTCGTCATCGATTAATCTTGGTTTAAATTAACTTGTTTTGTATACATAATTTTTCGTTAATGAAAATTAATGAAGCAATTCAAATTGTAACAATTTATTAATGAATTGCCATTTTAGGTAAGGTATCTTAACAAAAATATGTCAATTTTTGAGTGGGAAATATTTGAGTGTTTGTGGCAGCGTTGTCAGTTGCTATAGCAACGAGTCTGCGTAGCATAGCCGACATAGAGATCGAGAAAGAAAGAATACCAGAGGTTTTGAGTTATTTTTCTACAGTTTTCTGCGTTGCCTTTCACTTTTGCTGTGGCACACTGCACTGAATTAATACCTATTCCTCCAGGTTTCAATTAGTTAACCGAATTGTTGTACCGCGGCAGTGCGCCTATGGATGGCATATAAAAGAATAGTCTTTTTCCATCCAGCGTTACGCGCATGCGCGAAATTTCCATACGGAAGCGATAACACGCAAAGGGTCCAAAGCATCTATTATGGAATATTAGCCAATTGTCCGCTGAAAAATGATGAAATGATAGTCTCACCATGTGTGGAACTGAAGGAAGAAGAACGACGTGAATCTGGCTCTGAAGACGGTGAACTGATTGGCATCTCCACGTTTCCATGTGCCGTTTAAAGTGAGTTATAAAGTTAATCCTGGTTCCATTGTATTTGACAGCAGCGTGGCACACTTTACAAATCGCATTTGCCTTTTCAAGATGTCCGTTTCTCGTATAAAATTCATAGTGTTGCCAAACCTTAGATTTACAGTGTGGAGGTGAATGTATCGGTTCCGCTGGTTCCGCCATCTTTGCTAGTTGTGATTACGTACGCGCGCCCGCCCGCACATCTTCTTCATCTTGTGGCGGTTGGCGACACTGCTTTGCGGTCTACAAGAAGCGCTGTTTGGTCAATATTTTAATTTTTTTTGCATTACTATAACCGATACAATGAGGTAAAAATCTGGCGTAATTAGATTTTTCATTATAATTCAAAGAAATGTAAAGCTGCCTTACCAATGTCTTCCAATCACGCATGCGCATGTCAGTGGCTCATTGGAAACCGGTTAATCTTCCCACCACTACCAGGAGGAGGATTTCTTTACTTTGCTATTGCTTAACAGGAATGATACATGAGTTCTGTTGAGCATTCATCTTGAAACCCATACAATGTTTAAAAAGCATTCATGCTCCTTAGTGAACTTCTTCCCCAATCTAATTGGTGGTTAATTGGTTAATACAAATTAACCAATTAATTGGTTAATACCAATTAACCAGGCCTTTGAAGACCTGGTTAATTGGTATGATTCCATTATGCCCTTAATTTAGCTCCAATAATTTTTTTTTATCCCTTCTTTGTTTTCTGCCCCAATGACATGGGACAAAACATTCAAATTTGGTCTTATCTGACCGGACCAACTTCTTCTTCTTCATGTTTGCAGTATCTTCCTGATGGTTGTGGAAAACATTATTTTGTTTTCTTTTAAATGAAGTATTGGACTGTCCCTGGACTTGAACATATTTAGAGCTGTAAAGATTAAAATATTTTTCTAGAATCTAAATTGGCTTTACTAACTTGGTGACATCTGAGGGCAATTAGTTGAGCTGGATTTTATTTAGGAGCGCCAGAATAAATAGGGCTGATTATAAAAGCACGCCACAATTTTTACTGAAATTTGTTTGTCTTGAAGTAACATACACTGATTACAACAACAGCTGTAGAAAAGGGTACGTAAAAACCTTTAAAATTAGAAATAGAGCAAAGATAACATTCTTGTAACCATTGTGTCCTCAAATTATTTAAGCGTTCCTCATGGAGCGGCTTTGAAGAAAAAAATACCAATGAGGCAATGTGGAGAACAGATTGAGTTGTGTACATTTGACAAAGAAAAGCTCCTAACAACTGCCTCGCTGGCTCATATGCCTGGTGGGATGACTGGTATAATGAATAAACTAAAACATTTACTTGTGGCAAAAACATACAGCAAGCCCCTCTGTTAGTTCTGCAAGTCTAAGTTGGTGAAATGAGAATATTGATGAGCATTTGTGTGGGAAACGATGTCTTTCTGACTCAGCCACCACCAATATGATAAAGTTATGAGGTGTTTAGTGCTTTAACAACATTCTCAACAATGAAGGTTCCTTCAGTTTTACACCTCTGGTGTCGCAGCGTCACACAGTATTCTTCAAACAAGGTTGCAGTTACAATGCACAACAGCACAGAAGCCACTTGTGCAGGAGCACGACACCGTGTGTGTGGATTCTGTCTGATCATGTAGGTGTGCCTTTCTTTCTCAGAAAGAGGCAGAACGTGTGGGTGAGTGGTGCAATATGCAGTTAAAGAAGCAGGGAAATCATTTACAACATTGGTAATTTTCAATGTTTCTTCAAAAGAAAGAGGCTACACTGACAGAAAAAAGAAATTAGGATTTGGGAGATTTATGAGAGCTTGCTAAAGTAGTCATACTATGTGAGCTTTTTCATATTTTGCCACATGTCACAAATTTTAAGTTTCTGGATTGGGATTTTATGCCACAAACCACTATGAATAAAGAAGACAGTGCGATGTCATAGAACTATGGCAATAATTGTCATGATTCACTGGTGTTTGCGTATTAGCTTTCATGTATTTGTTTCTGATCATTTCTGTGGGGGTTTATTGCCATTCAGTTCACTTTTCTGTGGTCATTAGTTTTGTATTGGGGTATTGTGTTCAGTTACTTCTTTCTTGTGTTCTTCCTGCTGTGCATTTTGCCTTGTTAGGATATCATTTTGTGTTTTAGTTCAGTCCCCTGAGTATTATCTGTGTTTATTTGTCTGCCTCCTTCAGCCTCCTTGCTTTCACTCTACCACAGCTCTTCCACATCCGCACTGATCAAGCTCACCTGGATCCAGTGTCATTATTCATCACCCTTTCCTCGTAATTTACTCTCCTCTGTTCATTGTTCATTGCTCGATTCTTTTGTTATCCTCACAACTAGTTCCCTGCTCCGACATCTTCATACCAGCAGAGTAAATCTTTATTTTTAAGTCATTAAAAACTCGCTTGACCTCTCTGCCTCTAGTTCTGCCCGCATTTGGGTTTGACTAAAGACCAAATATGATAAGACCAAAGCTATTATTGAAAGAAAGCCATTAGAAGCATCTCTTGCTTCTAATGAATTTTGAAAAAATTTGAAAGAAGTTTGAAAAAAATTCTAGATCGGGTGTCATGACACTGTGCTTGATCCATAAAGGCAGGGCTATTCAGTCTAATTCTGTGCTGTGTGCTCTGAGCAACATTATGCTTTATTAATTATTTTACATCATATTTAGAATTCCTAATTGAACTTTCTCAACCATTTCAAACATATTATCACTTGTTGACAAAGGTTGTCAACCTATTGTTTTTGTCAGTTTCGGTTTCTTTATTATGTATTGTACCTAATTGCACTAACTAAGCCAATTAAAGTTGTGTTGTTTTTGCAAGTTTGACCAAATGCGTGAAACTGTGGTGTATTTAAGTATTCTTTACTGGTTCAGAGTTAGAAAATAAATTTGCATTTCTAAGTTGGACTGTTGAACGTGTTCTGTCCTGTTCATCACGCAGCATTGCAGCCTTTCAAAACCCATTGGTAAAAATTCATTGTTATGTGGAAAAAGTAGTGACTTGTAATCCAGAAATTAGTTTATTAGTTAATATCTTCTTGATGCTGTACCAATTTATAATGAGGTAAGTGTGAAAACTACATGTAGAAGTGTTTTCATTGTTGTTCTTTATGTTTCTATTAATTGCATATTTTACAATGTCAATAGGATTTTTTTTCATAGCTTATCGGAAAATGGTTGGAGCTCAATAAACACAGGGAATTTCTAGAGGAAAGATTGTTAAAAGCTGCAAAAAACTTGTGACTGGGATGAAGGTTCACCTTCATAATCCCTAAGCAGTCAGAACATAAATGGGTTTGCATCAAAACATATCTGTCTGGCAGAATGGCCCTGTCAAAGTCTAGACCTAAATCTAATTAAAAATTTGAAGCAATATGAAGCATAATGTTCTTTATCTAACCTAACTTAAATAAGAATGGTTTGGAGTGGCAGTTAATACAAATGCACATTTTTCAGATTTCCCTAGCAAAAAATAATAATAAAAAAATATGCATGTATCCTTTTCCTTTCATTTCCTAAATGTCTGGAGTTTTGGAGTTGTGGAAGTTTGTGGTTGTAATTCAGCAAAATATAAAGTTCATACAGTATTTGTTCTTTTGCAGAGTACTTTTCATCTCTTTTTATCCACTCAGCAATTTTCTATTATCCAACAAAAGTGTTAATGCCACCAAACTTGCTTTGGGGGTATCCCGTCCTCCTCTCACTCTGCCCCTAGAGTAACTTGACAGGATCAGTGTCTCTGTGGCTTCACGCACAGGCCTGATGGACGCCCGTGCCCTTGAATGGGGATCATTTGAGCTCACTACTGGATCACTAATCCTGACTCACTGCAAATTGCACATGTAGCGTTGCACACTCCTAGAAGGCTGAGCGCAGGGTTTTAGCTTCACTTCTTGTTGAAAAGTCTTAAATGCAGCAGCCATAAGCTTTCCCACCCTCATATGCACACAACAACACGTTCTGGAGAAATAAATATTCATATTAGTCGACTGGCAACCGAAGATAAAAACAAATGCAACGGACCAAAATCCACTCAAGGAAAGAGAATGTAGCCATACATGAAGCCAGTAAGATGTGCAAAGGCTGCTGACTTTGAATACATCTTGGTGAATGTATAATTCATAAGAAGAAGCACTAACTGGAGTAGGCTGGAAAGTGCTGAAGAGGAGGGCAGAAGGTAAGTATTGAGTGGAGAGAAGGGAGAAAGTGAGTGAGAAGGAAAAAATAGGTAAAATGAGATAAAGGACGGAAGAGTCTGGAAGAGACGACAGAGTGAGGGATTAAGGAGGTGAAGGAGGCAGAGAGGACAAATATATTTTTTTTTACAGGAATTGGAAATGTGAGAGCCGAGGAGTGGAATGAAGGTGGCAACAAGAAGAGGAGTGATAATGAAAGAGAAACAAGCTAAACGGGGCTGAAAAATATAAATGCTGTAAAAATGTGCTCCATAGCCTTGTTCTCACGCAAACTAAATTTTCTGCTGAATGTTTTTAGAAAACAGAGATGGGATCAGATTCTGTGCACTTTACTTGTTCTGTCCTCCGAAACATAAAACCATACGTCTCTGACTCATTGCCAAACGGGGAAAGAAAGTTAAAGATACCGTCAAGCTCACAACCAAATATAAATCCTGTGACGTCTCTTCAAAGCTGATATGCCCTAATATTCCTGTTCTAAGTGTTATGTAATATCACTCCTCTGCGAGTCACTGGTATAATATTTTGCAGTTTATTGGGTTTTTTTATCAAAGATTTTTTTAGTGTAGGAAGGAGCAGAAAATTACATAAACTGGCAAAAAAAAAAAAGTTTGATCTTAACACTCAGTATTATCTTCTGGAACAGAAACATTAGGTCTTCATGTTTAAGGTGTCAGTGACACCTATGGAATATTTTATATATAATCTACTCTCTCACCCATCCCCCGAATGGCTCTTCATCTCAAGTCCAGACCTCTCTCCCAGAGAGGACCTGGACTGTGAGGGTTCTTCACAGTACCTTAGCCGTTCCTAGGACTGTGCTCTGGACTGAGTTGTTGGATGTTTCTCCAGGTATCTGTTGGAGAGACTTCTCCAGAGTAGGGATCACACAGCGCTCTGATGACCACGGGCACAAGAGTTGCCTTAATCTGCCAGGCTCTTTCTAGTTCTTCCCTGAGCCCCTGAGTAGTTCTTGTGTTTTTTTAGTCCTGATGTCTCCTTCATTTGGGATGCCCACATCGATAACAGCTCTCGTCTGCTGCTGATTAAGAAACGCAGTGTCCGGTTGGTGGGACGTTACCATCTTGTCCATTTGAATCTGAAGGTCTTACACAATGTTAGCACAGTCATTCTCTACCACCTTGGGAGGTGATTCAAAGGGGGTTTCCAGTTTCCTGCCTTCCTACTAGTATCGTACACCTAACTGTAAGATGTTGGATTGTTTCCAGGGCCTCTTTGCATGCCTGGTTTGGTAGATCTGGACTTCTATTTCTCTGGTGCTCAAGGTCTGCTCCTGTGCTGCTATTGTCAGTGCTTATGTGTTGTCCCTCTGCCCAGCCCTTTCTAGCCATTGGTATCATTTGGTCATACTAACCACTTAAGCTATTGGTGATAAATCTCATGCAGTGGCTTTTCTTCCTATGATGATTCCTTCTCCTCCTCTTCTAGTTTCCTTTGTTTGAGACATTGACTGAGTGCTTCATTTCTCTAGGCCATTTTTCTGATGTATTCCTGGAGCTTGGATATTTCATCCCGGATGGTGTCTTTGATACTCACTAGTCCTCTGCCACCTTCTGTGCAAATAGTGCATCACCTGTGGATACTGGATTGAAGGTGGACTCCAACATGGTGAGTAGCTTTTGTGTTTTAACATTATTTACCCTAGCGGAGTATCTGATTGCTAGCAAGGCATATCTGTTGACCTTGTTCCTGATGTTTAGCTGACTTCTCTTAACTTTCCTCACTTGTTGCAGGTATTTGGAATACCACAGACAGATGACCACCACAAAAGAGGTTGTCATCTGTCTGTGGTATTACAAGGTACTTATAGTTTAGCGCAACATCTGCTATTCTCTCTTTTTAGAAATTTACTTCCAAGACTTGATGTTCCAGTAAATTCACAATGTTTTCCCATGTTTAGACCTGCATTACACAAATTTGTGTGTGTGCTAAGTTCACTGATGCCAAATGAAGGTGTTTAAAAAGCAATATTGATTTCTTTTTGATATTTCACAAATAGAATTAAGTGTAGAATAATATAGTTTGAATTGAATCGGTTTTGGTACGTCAGATTTTAAACATGGAATGATCAAAAATTGTAGATGTGTAGCAAAACAGAGAACTCACCCTTTAATTTAGCATCAAACCTTTGCTACACTAACTATCTCCAATCCAGCAAGACATGCAAATCATATGTTGGGAAATTAGGCCACAACTGAAAGAAAGTTTTCTATATTTTGCAGCACTGTTGCTGCCCCATGACATAAGGGCGCCCAGATGGGGGACCAACCTATCAGTCACTTTTAGCAACAAATGCACTATTTTTAAAGCCTTTTAGGAGGTTCAGTTGTTCAGCTTGCGTTCCAAACGCAGACATATGGAGAGGAGCTTCTGCAGTTCTACCTTTCAAGGTGAAAGGCAACTATTTATTTACTTAAATATATACTTAAATATATATCATTCAGTCATTTTATTATGCTCATAACTGTGTGCAAAGGAAAATTTAGGCTAACATACGCAACACACTTGTCTAGTGAGTGTCTCTAAGCTAGGTATGAGCATGCATGTAGCGACAGTGGAGAGGAAAAACTCCCCTTTAACAGGAAGAAACTTCAACCAGAACCTGGCTTGGTAGGAGCGACTGGTTTGAGTAGACGGAGCACACACACACACACACACACACACAAAACAGAAGAACTGATGTAGGATTACTTTTAAGTCAATGACTTCATGCAATCTGCTGGGTTTCCTTAGAAACTTTTTAAACTAATTTGAATAGTAAGCTTATCTTACTGTATTGTTTGACAAATAGGATCAATTGGAATGTATTTATGATGAAACTGAAATTATTTTTTGTAAAGTGCCTCAAGAAATATGTTGTAAATTGACACTATATAAATAAACCGAATCGAGGATTCATGATTTAAAGATGGCTAAAGAATGCCACAGACTTGCTGCAATTTCTTTTATTACAGAAGTCACCGCTTAGTACAATAGTGCTTTAATTCATTTGTCACTCACTGGCTCATTGTGCCTTCACCCACACAGTAAAACTTTGTGCACAGACCTTCGCAGGGGAAGCAACATTGTTCACATAACCTGTTATACAGTATGTGGGTGTCAGGGAACAGCTCACTCGGGGAGCTGCTTACCCATCAGCTGCTACATGATGGCAAGCCACACTCCTTACCTGCAATGCAGCCGGCATTTATTAAATTTTAATAGGTCACATTTAAAGCTGTATACTGAATAATTTGTGAATTTTAATTCATTCAACTTTGGCATACGTGTATCTAAATCTCAACTAGCGTTTTAAACCTGTTAAAAGTAATGTTTATTTAATTTCATGCAGTTAATTGTTTGTAGTATTTAGAGTTTTGTGAAAAATAAAGCCTGTCATTTCTATATCTTAACAAAGGGCTAGTTTGAAGATCAGTCATCGCATTCCTTAACATAGTTTTGTGTGCTAATGTGCTCTATTATAAACTGACCATCTGTCTCACAAGTTCTTGGCAAAAGCCTACTCCTCCTTGCCAGCTTTACAGTAAGTCTTTTCTCACTTTGATAGAGATGCAGGATTCTGGAACGGGTTTGGCGAAATATCCACCGCCACCAACTGTGGTCTTTAACTCACAGTTGTTATTGGGGTTTTTTTTTTTGTCTGCCTTTTCCAAGCTACATAAATGACTAACTCTCAAGAAAAACATACATGAACCCCTGGAACCTAATACCAACTGTACTATGCTTTTTTTTTTCTCTGGACTTTATCATGCTGGACTGTTATGTAACACCACTGGGTTACCATAACTGGTTAACAGAATGAATGGTTCTTGATATGGAAGTTATTTCACCAGGAAAAATATCTGAATTAATATCCAGCATATCATATATAGCAACGTATTCACAACCTATGACGTTAGAACTACATAGCAATAAATGTTATTGAAATTTGATGTGAAACAAAGTAGCGCATACATTTAAAGAGAAAAGAAATGTTGATAGAGTAAAATTCTGAGTGTGGTGTGCATTTATTTCAAGTGCTATTTATTCTGATGATCTTAAGAGATCAAACCTCTGTTTAGTCTTTTGCCGCTACTAACAGGTTTTCTTCCAGGATTACTCTATATTTAGCCCTACCTTTCTTATCCCTTCTGATGAAAAGCATTCCCACAGACTGATGCTGCCTCCACCATGCTTTACTTCAGGACCATGCTCAGTTTTAGTTTTTATCACACATAGTGTTTAATATGTGGGCCAAAAAAAAAGAACATTAATTTCTAATCAGCTGACTCTTGAAGTCAGCTGATTCAGCTGCAGTTTATATTTAGGGTAATTTCAGATTTTTGTTTTAAAAAGTGCAGGAAAATTATGCTAATCCTAATCCCTCCACCTCACATTTCTGCTCTACTTTGTGTTGGCCTGTCACATAGAAACCCAGTAAAACACCTCTTTTAGTTTTAATGTGACAAAATGTGAAGAAGCATCAAGGGTTATGCATCCATTTGCAAGGCACTGTGTGTACTTCTTTAAAACTGTACAGTATGTCTGCCACCTCATCTGACTACACCTCCTTATCTAAGTTTAACTGACCAATATTCTCTGTTGCCACGGAAACAGAGACGTTGATAAGCAAATGAGTGTGCCACACTTAAGCACAAATTTATGTAATACATCCGAAAGCACCAGCTGCACTCACGTCTGTGCTACCAATACCAAATAAGCACAAATGCATGAAAGAAAAAAAAAAAAAAAAACGCCTTTGATGATCACCGCCTTCACACAGCTGTGAGAGCCTCTGTGCATTTTTATTTGTGTTTCCGACTTTTTGTCATCACTTCCTGCTGGAAACGGCGCTCAGGTGCAGGTGCTACGGCGTATTGCTCACTCGCTGTTGAATCAGTTCAGCTGCAAGTGTGAACCCAGTTGAGGCTGTAGCTCTCTAAACACCGTCTGACCCCTCAGAGTGTCAGGTGTCACCCTGTATCAGAGCCGCACTATTTTCTCTTATTAGTCAACGCGGTAGACCACAGCACTGAAGATGCTGAGCATTTGTCTGTAATATAACACATCACTTATTTGGTGTGGTAGAAAAAGTGCGCCGTGCGTTAGCTCTAGCTTTCCGGATTAATAGAAAGCGGTGGCGAATATTGGGACGGCATGCAGATTTCCCACCCAGGATCTCCTCCTCACACATCCTGCAGCTCCGGCTTCACAAAGCCACCGCAAAGCACTGGCTCTCTCTGCCCTTAAAACATCCACGCAGGTCAGCCAGCCCCGGTGTACGAACTCCTAAAGCATGACACCGAGTAGGAGATGCGGTGAGAGTGGGAGAGAGTGTGCAGAGAGGGAGAAATCAAAGAATATCCAGTCCACACACTTCTCAGTTATCTCAGCTCCTCCAGTGCCTCTCTGAAATCTCCAAATCCCAAAACAGAAACCAAAGACTGAAACAATTTCCAAGATGGGATTTCTGTCTATGCAGATGACATACCTCTGTAATCAGTTAATTGTTTTTTCCAGTTGTGGCACCTCTCACTCTCTTTCACTCTCACAGAGCACGAGCTTGTGTAGGAGACAACAGATAAGCTTACCTTTGTAGTCACAATGCAGAGGCAGTCCATGGTACTTAGAACAAAATATTGGGGTGTATCTCAACCCCCTCAACCCCCCACGACAGAGGGCTGAGACCCCACGCCCCTCTCCCCAGCCTGCCCCACTCCTGCGCTCTCACTCTCGTCCTGCCTTTCCCCCCTTTTCTCTCCTTCCGTGAATCTCTTCTTTGACTAACTGAACCAGCGAGGGAAAGAGAGGATGGAGGGAGGGGGGAAACATGAAAAGGGAGGGGGAGGGCCACAGGGAAACAGAGAGAGAGAGAGCAATGAAAAGAGAGAGGAGAAGGAGAGGAGAGAGGGTGGTCTTTGGAATTTAGCAGGAGAGGGAAGAAAGAATGGAGAGAGATGGGAAGGTGAGGCGTGTATCCGTTATCCAAAAGGACAGGTGGTGGAAAAAGAATGAGGGAAAACAAAAAGAAAGAAGGGAGGATGGAGATGGAAAGCAGAGGTGGTGGGATTAGCGACGACAACAACCAAAAAGAAAAGACGGGGTTTGGGGAGTCACAGTGTGGAAAGGGAGGGAAACAGAGAAAACAGACAACAGAAGAGCAAAGCAGCAGAGGATGGAGAGGAAAAAACGAGGGAGGGGGACGGTGAAGGAGAAGGAGAGTGGGTGAGCGCATGCGAGTGAGTGCATGTGAAGACAGAAGGAATTAGACCGAAAGCAAATGTGTTGAGGAGGAGAGTGTGAATTACATATGCATCACAGAAAAAGACACGAAGCACCGCGAGAGCATCTTAGACAGGAGCAAATCCCCCTGAAACCTGAGTTTGTATTAACCAGAAGAAAACGACGACTAGAGCCAGAGCACACCGAGGTTTATCTGCTTGTTGGAGCACTCTGCAGCTGTTGCCTTAGCAATGCTGCAATATGCCTGCCTCAGACTGTCACATGTGACTCTGCTTCTGTGTAGGTGTTTGCATCCATTCGTCCGTTAAATTTTTAAAAAATCAAGTGGAAAAATCACAGAAAATCACATTCAGATAATCGATAGACTGCTGCCATCATCTATATCTAAATATCCAATATTAATGTGACTTCCACAAACTACTTAGGCCCCGAGTCTTTTCAGTTTTTGTCATTTCTGTCGTCATAATAACTATTTTTTAAAAGTTTCATGAAAATGGTGCAAAAGTCAAAGCACTCTTCTTGCACCGCTCTGCCTTTAAGACTGCGGACTGTACCACTCTGGGAAGAGCAAAAAAAAAAGAGGGGGGGAGACATGTGCTCTCGTGTCTTTACATCATCAGATCTATAATTGGACATCACCCATCCTCGTCCCCACTTTCCAGCTCCCGACAGTGCCGGAGCAATGGTGCAGCAAAAAAGCAATTTTAAATGATGACCACACATTCGATCCCCCAGGGCGAATAGTAGAGGCTTTGATCGAAAATGAACAGTGTAATACAAACACACTGGCATCCACAGATGGCCAGATCCTGCAGATGGCCACTGTTACAAAAATACTTAGAGGCATGCTTTTACAAATGTGTGAAAGAGGAAATCAAAGGAATCAAAGTTACTTCCTCTTTCACTTTTTTAGGTAGCCTTTAAAAAAACTCTCCAGCGATAATCCTCCTTTGTGTGTTTTTTGAACAAATGACACCATACAAATCCAAAAATGTCAATGTAATTAGCTGTAATTATTATATACGAGGTGGGACATGCAACTTTTCAGATTGCAGCATAAATTCTGAAGCATTCAAATTGGATTGGAGAATCAAGTTTCCATTAGGCCTTGACGAATACTGAATACTAATCATGGTTGGC